GTTTTCAAAATACGCCAATAACACAAAAATTTCATGGCAAGAAAACAAACAGCAGGGCTGGCCAAATAGCTCAGAGGATTAAAGTGCCTGCAAGCAGGCGCAAGGGTGGGAGGTTCGAACCCCCAGCCTGCTGTGCTGCCCCCCTGCCCCCCCAGGGGGGGCACACTGAGATGGTAATTGAGACAGGGCATGGTGGTATGCGCCTGTAATCCCAGCTCTTGGGAGACTGTAAACAGGTGGATCACTATAAGTCCAATCCAGTAGTGAGACCCTGAACACCTTGTAGACCCTTAGCTAAAATAAAAAATAAAAAAAAAAGGAAAACAAATAGCTCAGTTAAAAATTGGCAAAGACTTGCATGTAACTTTCTTAAAAGTGAATCTATACGGACAGCAGGTATATAATACATGTTCAATATTGTGTATCATCAGGAAAAGTGAAAACACAATGGGATGTCAGCTCACCCTTGTTGGGACAGCTATTATCCCAAAATGAAAAGATTCTCAAAGATAGCAAAGAGGTGGAAGAGAAGGAACCCTGAGCCTGCTTTGGGGGTGGGTGAAAATTTTCACCCTGCTTTTGGGTGAAAATCAGTTTATGACCACTGTACAAAACAGTAAGGAGGTCTCCAAACAAATTGAACTATCATGTGATCTAGCAATTCCATGTTTGGTATATACAGTCAAAAAAGTGAAATCAATACAGCTACTTTCTCTTAATTCAATGAGAAGAAAGATTTGTACTAATAGTGTTTGGACAGGATATCATGTCTGCATCTTGTACTATGAATAACCACTACGAAGACAACAATATGCGATGTATTAATGATTGAAACTGTCCTGTTAATCGGTTTTGAAACTGTTTCATTGTTTTTTTGTTTCTCAATAAAATTAATTTAAAAAAGTAAAATCAATCTCTCAAAGAGATACCTGCATTCCCATATCCATTATTATGGCCATTTCAACCACAGCACACAATAGCTGAGTGTAGAATCAGCTAGATGCCCTGAATGGGTGATTGGATAAGAAAAATTCACATAGGGCTGGTGAGATGGCTCAGTGGTCTAAAGCACCTACTTAGAACAAGCTTAGCAAAGCACAGGGACCGCAGTTCAATCCCCCAGCACCACATGCCAGCCAGCCCCGCCCCCTGGTGGGCTGAGCTGCCCCCCCATGAAATAAATAAAAATAAATAAAAAGAAAAATTCACATACATACATGCACATACGTACACACACACACACACACACACACACACACACACACAGTGATTACATATCCACTATTTGCAACAGCATAGACGAGTTTGGAGGACATTGTGCTGTGTGAAGTAAGCTGGGCACAGAGAGACAAATATCTCACTATATCATTTTTATTTTAAGCCTGAGAAATTTAAATTCCTAACAGCAAGAGGGCAAAAGTGGTGGCCAGAGGCAAGGTACCTGTACTGTATGCTGACTAGTTACGCAAAATTCTCTGAGAACAGCTGGGCATGGTGGTGCACAGCTGTAATCCCAGCACTCAGGAAACTGAGACAGGATTGTTGCGAGTATGAGACCAGCCTGGGCTACAAAGTGAGCTCAAGGCAAGCCTGAGTTGCACAGTGAGACCCAGTCTCAACAAGATAAAGAAAAAAATTATATGAGACCAAATTTCAAATATTGTCATCTTTTTTTTTCTTTTTTTGTTGGACCAGGGATTGAACTCATGACCCTGTGCTTGCCAGGCGAGTGTTTATTCCACTGAGCTATTTCCCCAGATATTGTCATCCTAAAGTAACACAAAAATGGTACTAAGCATAAAGCTATCTTTTTTTCTTTTAGTACAGGGTCTACAGGGTCTCACTACACAGATTGGACTCGTAGTGATCCTCCTATTTTCAGCCTCTCAAGCTCTGGGATTACAGGAGCGCTCCACCACGCCCAGTCTCAGTCACCATCCCAGCATGCCCTGGGGCAGGGCCAGCTCTGCATCTGCCTAAGCAGGTGCTTTAATCCACTGAGCTATCTAGCCAGGCCCTAAAGCAATCTTTTCATGGACGTGGGGTGTGTTATCTTAATGCATTCATGATATACAAGATAATTCATACACTACTTAGCCTGTTTTAATTTCACAGTGCAAATGCATTTGGAAATATCATAGCATATACCATAATTATATGTCATTTCTATTGATCAATAAAATAATAAAGTTTAGAGTAAATATCCATACAAATGGCACCACACAACAGAAGCATACAAAATTTTTATTTTTTTAATTATACCTGGGCGAGGTACTAGGGAGATAGCTCAGTAGAATAAGCACTTGCCTGGCAAGCGCAGGGTCCTGAGTTCAATCCCTGGTACCGAAAAAAGAATTTATACCTGGGTGAGGCTGGGAAGATAGCTCAGTGGCATAAGTGCCTGCCTGGCAAGCACAGGGTCCCAAGTTCAAGCCCCAGTACCACACATACACACACACTACATTTATATCACTATGTATATATACTGTATCTATCTATCTATCTATCTATCTATCTATCTATCTGTCTGTCTGTCTATAAATTTGGGTGAGCAGGAACTATTTCTTGAACATACTAAAAGGTGATGCAAGTAAATTATTAGGACTAACAAACAACCTTCATTGTTACAAAGGTCATTAGCAGGGCCAGCCAGATAATTCAGCGCATCAAAGCACCTGCTTGGGCAGATGCAGGGAGGAGGGTTCAATTCCTGGTGTGCCATACCAGCTCACCCCCCGAGGCGCGCTGAGACAGCGACTGAGGCTGGGCATGGTGGTGAGCGCCTGTAATCCCAGCAGTTGGGAGGAGGCTGAAAACAGGAGGATCAGTATGAGTCCGATCTTTATAGTGAGATCCTGTAGGCTCTGTACTAAATACATTAAACCCCCCCCCCAAAACAAAGGTCATTAGCAATGAATGTCCCCGTCCACCCCATGATCCCCTTTTTGACCTCTCCCGTGGGCGCTCCTTCACCCCAGCCGAGCACACCCTCTGCATTGTATCTGCTCCTCCACAGAGCAGGACTGAAGCTTTCTGGGCATGCAGAGAAATGTTCTGGCACTGGCCTCGCTGTCCTCTTCCCCTTACGGGCCATGTCCATGAGCTTCCCGCTGGCCCAAGCCTCCACAGGCCCAGAAGGTCCACAGCCCGCCCTGCTCCTGTCTCACGCCATCGTGCCTCCTCCGGGAGCATCCGTCTCCCTTCCTGCAGCTGTACCTTGGGTTTTGGATGTTTCCCTAAAGATTCACATGTTGCAAAATTGTTTCCCAGCCTGTGGCACTGTTGGATGGTGGTGGAACCCTTAGGAGGCAGCACCCATTGAGGACAGGCTTGGGGCGGCCCTTGCAGGTGACAGTAGGAGCTCGGCCCTCCTTCCTCGCCTCGCTTTTTGCCTGCCCAGAAGTGGACGTGCATCCTCCACCACGCTCCCCCCCCCCCCCACACAGCACAGGGCCAAGGGCCATGGATGGCAAGGTTTGGATTCGTGAGTCAAAATCAACTTCTAGTGGTAGCAACTCGGGTCACTGGAGGAGGGGTTTTGCAGGGGACACTGGGACTTCAGTGCCTTCCTATGTCTCTCTGTACCTTGGCTGCCAAGAGGCGAACAGACCTCAGCCATGTGCTGTCACCAGGACAGACCATGACACTGTTAGCAGCCTGATGGGAGGATTCCTCCGTCCTTCTGTTGTTAAAATTCTTTTTTTTTTTTTTGACTGACTCAGGATGCCTTCAGGGCAGGTCTTGCTTGAGGATCTGGGGATCGAACCACAGCATCCTGATTGCTTTGTTTAAGCAGTCACTTAAACAACTGAGCTAATGGGCAGCCCCCCCGTTGTTAAAATTTTTAAAATTATTTATTTATTTGTTTACTTGGTACCGGGTCTCCCTACTCAGCTCAGACTCATAGTGATCCTCCTGTCTCAGCGCCCCCAGCACTGGGATTACAGGGATGCACCAGCGTGCCCGGTTGCAGCGGCTGGCACTGCATGCCTGGTGTTTTGGGGACCAACACACCACGTTATTGAACTCGGGTCCTTGGGCTTGCCGCTCAGGCACATAGGTCACGGAGCTATCTCTCCAGCCTATGTATTTAACTACAATTGCCTATGAAGTGCAGCACTACAAAGCTGTGGGGCTCAGTGACCATGAGCGGAGACCTCTGAATCCACAGGCTGAAATGAAATTTCTGTCCTTGTAGGTTATTTCCCTCAGGTATGTTGCCGCAGCGGTGGAAAGCTGACTAGCACTTTCTGCTACAATTTTCTCCAGTTTGTGGCCAGAGCAGCCTTGGAGTTTCCGGTAAAGTGCAAAGGCAGCCACGGCTTTGCCGGCTCTGTGGCTCTGCCTGTCTCACAGGGCCCCAGCTGCCTGCCACTTCCTCCTCGCTGCTCCTGGCCTCTGCTCTCCTCGGCCCTGAGTCACGGGCCTTCGTTTGCGGAACTCATCAGACCAGCTTCTGCGCAGTGGCCTTTGCTGTTCCCCTTTCCCTCTCCCTGAGATAATTCTACTTAGCAAAACACTGGCGGTGTCCCGGCTACCCTCACATCCTGCTCAAGCGTCGCCCCTCATTCACAGACACAGAGACTGAAGCCAGGGTCCGCAGAGCCTCTCCCTGCATGACTTCTCCTCAGACACCAAGGAACACATGCTAGGCTTAATCTATCGCTTCTTTCTTTTTATTTTTGTTCACTTTATCTCTACAATGACAGCTTCTCAGTGACAAAGATGGTGTTGCTCCGGGCACTGAGGCATCCCTGGCACCCATGAAAACACTGGCACATGGTAGGAGCTCAGCATTAGTTACCAAAGTAGTTCCTAAATAATAGAAACAGCATTCCTCCATCAGAATCATACCCAAATATCTCTCTCTCTCCCTGTCTCTCTCTCTGTCTCTTTCTGTCTCTCTGTCTTTCTCTCTGTCTCTCTCTCTGTCTCTGTCTCTCTCTCCCTCTCTCTCTCTCTCTCCCACTCCCGCTCCTAACTGACACTGTAAACTGAGCCTCTTCAGGGAGATCAGCCCTGCATGGGCAGGAAGAGGGGAAGGCAGCACTAGGACAGGTCTCGCGATCAGAAGAGCCTCGCCAGTGCCTGTGAGAGCTTCATCCTGCTGGGAGAGGACGCTCTGGAGGAGAGTCCAGTGGGGCCCAGCGTGTGCAAGGCCTGGTCCAGCAGTGGAGTTCACCTCAGCGCATTCCATGGAGACAACTGTGCAGGAAGCGGATGCTGACTATCTGCAAATATATCGCAGAGGTTGCTGATGGCAGAGAGGGGGCAGGGGTGAGTGAGGTGGATTCAGTGACCAGGGGAGAGACAAGGACCAAGAATGACCAGGGTCAGGATAGAGAAAGGGAATCAAGGTGAGCGAGGCATAGCAGGACAGGAGGACCAGGGAGGTACTGACGGCATGGAGAAGGTGGAGCCGGTTCCCAGTGAGAACCACACCCCACTCCTGGCTTAGAGAGGGGCCTCTGAGCCACCAGCATCTCAGGAACCCTCGCCAAAAGGAATGGGGCTCAGAGGTGCTGGGCAGCTCAGCTGAGGCAGAGCTGAGCCTGCTAAGCTGGTGATGTCATCGGGGAGGAATCTGGGGGACGTAGGGTGCCTCACTCACCCGAGGGGCTAACCCGTGACAGAGTGCATCTCTGCGGCACCAAGGGAGCCTTCTTCCTTCGATTCCCTCCTCCTATGAGATTTCAGCCTAGTGAGGAGACCAGGGCCTTCAGTGTGGGCACTGGGGTGTAGCGGGCAGCGGGCACCTCACCTGTGCCCTGTTATGCATCTCTGGGCAGCGCTCACCTGAGCAAGATGAGGCACAACCCGAGAAGCAAGACCTTGACAGCCACCACTACAACAGCCAGCAGCACCACCTCTGCCACGGGCCCTGCAGGAAAGTGAGGGCGGTCAGATTGCCCTGCTGAATCACAATCTCAGTCTCCTACTAGCGTGTGGTGTGGGCCCCGCTGACCTTGCTCACTGCTCCGGGGGCGGGGCCACACCAGCCTACAGGGCTCCCACCTCGCAGTCCAGCTGTCCTGAGACTGAGCAGAGCACACCCTGCCACACTGCTGCGCCACAGGGGCAGCTTGCTCAGAGCTCTGGGAGCTGCAGGTCCTTCCAAACCTGGGCCTGGAAGTGTCCCTGGATACTCACTGCGCAGGGGCAGGCTCAGAGAGAGGGAACCCAGAGAGTTCTGCGCTCGGCAGGTGAATTCTCCTTCGCCTCTGAGGTGCTCTGGAGTCAGCTCCAGCACCCCAGGGTTTGCGGGATCAGAGGGGCTCAGAATCAGGTTTCCCCAGGTCCACGTCAACCTGGCAGGGGGGTAGCTGTCAGCTGCACAGAGCAGGCGCAGAGCCTGGCCCTCCACGACTGGAAGAGAGGAGCCATTCGCCAGGGCTGCGGGAGCTGTAGGGAAGACAAAGGGGGCAGCGAGACCAAGCGGTTAAAGAAAGGCTAAAGAGGGAGACTGAGTGGAGAGGTAGATTCAGGCCCAGACACAGACAGGAACGGACACCAGTGTGACCAACAGAGGCATAGAGTGAGGATGAGCCCAGCGCCTGCTCAGACCCGAGGGTTCTGTCCAGCTGAACTTGGGTTCCAGGAGGGAGGATTGGGGCTTCACAGGACGCCCATTTGGGTCACCAGATGCTCTGGGTGAAAGCTCAGAATCCAGGTCCAGGCAGAAGACTGTGAGCCTTTGTCCACATCTCGTCCTGACTCCAGTCACGGACTGAGCTACTCTGAGCAGGTGTTCACAGGGCCACATGAGCGGTGATGGGGGTGACTCGGTGGCAGCAGCCACAGAGGTGGAAGGGTAAGTGAGGTGGTGAAATGCTGTGAAGTAGGGCTTCCCGGAGGAAGGGCACTTAGCTCACACTCAGGGAGATGTGTGGAGGTCAGAGTGCAGGGTTAGGTGAGGATGAGGTTGAAAGGACCTCCAGAAGGAGGAACAGAAAATGCCAAGAAGGCCAATGTCTGAGAACATGGAAGGAAAACTGGAAGGACCAGCAGGGTGGGTTAGTCAGAGAAAGTGTGTGCAAGGTAACCCTTGGGATGGGGTCGGAGCCCCCAGGAGAGCAGTGGGAAGGGCTCGGGTTTGTATCAGAAGCCATGGGTGGGGTCTAGCAACGGGACTACACAGCCAAATGTGCCCAAGTTTATTGTGAAAATCACTGAACTCCAAGGAAGAAGAAAAGTGCTAAGGGCCAGCCAAACAGCTCAACAGAGATGGCAATTGAGACTGGGCGTGGTGGCACGTGCCTGTAATCCCAGCTCTTGGGAGGCTGCAAACATGCGGATCACTATGCGTCCAATCTAGTAGTGAGACTTTGAATACCCTGTAGACCCTTCCCTAAAATTAAAAAAAAGAAAAAAAGTGGCAAAATGTGAAATAAATGATAATTTCTCTAGCTTAGAAAGAGCTTCATAGGGGGCTGGGGAGATGGCTCAGTAGAATAAGTGCTTCCCTGGCAAGCACAAGGGGCTGAGTTTAATCCCTGGTTCTACAAAAAAA